GGCTGTAAATATTTTTACAATGATTCTACACCAGACCTCCTTTGAGAGGAATCCAGAAGCTGAAAATCTTCATTTGGCTGAACTAATAGGGAAGGGTTTGTTTTTCCAGCCCAGTCTCTGCAGAAGGTGAACTTTCTACGGGAAGGGCACCAACCTCGGGTGCAAAAGCCATGAAATGTGGAAGTTGCCATTTCTGCTCTGCTAAAGCAGCCTGGCAGTGCCCAGCAACACTCCCTTCTGGATCATTCAGACACATTTGGGGATTATTTTAGTTGAATGTTTGGGCAGAGCCCTTTTTCAAGGAGTGAGGGAATTACCACTGGCCTGAGTTGGAAAAGACCTCGAAAACCATCTCATTCCACCCCCTGCCATGGACAGGGACACCTTCCACTAGCCCAGGTTGCCCCAAGCCCCGTCCAACCTGGCCTTGGACACTCCAGGGATGGGGCAGCCACAGCTTCTCTGGGCAATGCTGGCACATGAATACAGCCCTGAAGTTTTCTGTCATCCAAACAAATTTATCCTTCCTTCAGGAACAGTCTAAAACTTATTCTTACTTTCCAAGTTGATGAAAAGACAAAATCACCTGCAAGAGCAGGAATAACCTCTGATACTGCCAAAGTTACATTAGCAGCCCCTTCAGCTGTCTGATGTACAAAAGGGCCAAGTATCATTAAAAACTCATATTCTGCTGTTTACACAGAACATATTTCTCATTTCAGCAGATTAATCAAGCCCGTACAACAAGTTCAAAGAACTCATCAGAGAATTTACATTAAACGCAGAATCACAGAGTCAATTAAGGTTGGAGATCACCAATTCCAACCACCAACCCAGCACCACCACTAAACCATGTCCCCAGGTGCTATATCCACACTTCCAGGGATGGTGACTCCACCACTTCTCTAGGCAGCCTGTTCCAACCTTCTCTGGGAAGAAATTTTCCCTGATATCCAATCTAAATCTTCCCTGGCACAACACAGAATTTTCTACTCTGGAACATCAGGTGAACTTTTTAGCCAGTGGTATTTAGCCTGGGAGAAATCCACAGGGAGAGACTCAGGAATCCTGTGCACTGTACTCACAGAGGTGCAGTAGTTAAATGAGCAACAGAACATGTCACTTATTAACTTGTTCCAAAGAGAAGTGAGAAGAAAAATTGGTACTTAAAAGGCAGATTTAGACAGACAGAGAGATGGATAAGCACACTCTGTTTGGGCTGCAGGAAGGGCAAGGAATACCATGGAGTGGTTTGGGTTGGGAGGGAC